AACATGTTTAAAGAAGTAAAACAAATTCAGCTCTTAGATCGTTTTAAAGTTTATTCAAAGTGTTTGTGTAAAATGGGTTGTTATGAATAAAAATGTTATGTAAAATTGTTAGAAGACCGTTAAGGTGGTTCGGGTAAAAGTACTCTAAGAATTGTAGGGAAGGGAAGAGCAAAAACATCTATATTGGATAACGGTGAGTTTTCTCAAATTGCTGAAAACATGATGATGCAAAAATGGTTTTAATTGCCCCCCCCCCCTCCCCTCTTAATTTAAGAAGAGGTTTCAGTATTAATCATGTGTCGGCATCTACATCAGGCCATTTATTATTGAAGAATATATGCAAGGATGTTTTTACCGCGGTGTCTCTAGAAAATTGAAGAATAAGTACATATCTCTTGAAGAAACCTGAACGTACTTCCAGAGGGGCGCATTTAGGAGAGGGGGTTCATTTAGGAGAGGGGTGCATTTAGGAGAGTGGGTTAATTTAGTAGAGGGATGCATTTAGGAGAGTGGGTGCATTTAGGAGATACATACAAAATAACACAGAGAGTGTCATATCTGGATTGATACAGACTGAAGTATTTTTGGTCTGCCATTGAGTCCAAGAGAGAGTTGTATCTGAAAGATACATACTAAAGAGTTCGAGAGTTGGTTGTAGCTGAATTAATACAGACTTAAAAGAACTTTTGTAGTAAGGCATTTGTTACAGGTGTATAATTTCAAAGTAAGAGCGTACTTTGGGTTGTACAATTTCACCAGAAGGGATGGTCTACAGAAGAAAGTTTTGTTTTACAATTATTTGTTAACCTGGACGAAAATGTAACGAAAGTTCTACAGTAAAATAACTTTTCGGTCACTGGTCAGGAATCGTAATTCATACCTCAGAGCCTGGAGGAACATTCCTTTCAAAATTGCAGTATCTTTTTTTTGTAAACACAGAACTAGAAATTTAAGAGCGTATCGTTGAATGAAACTACAGAGTTTCCTTTTTGCCGGGTCTATATATTTGCCTAGATTCTGGTTTGAGAAATCATAAACCATGTGAAATATTACAAAACCGCCCTGACCCCATTCTTAAAACCGGGTTTCCGATACTGGGTTTCATTACGAAACTCTGTCTTAAGTTTCGTGCTCTGATTTAGACCTTCCTTCAGATGCACGGCAAGAGTCCTAACTCTAAAAAGTCTCTCTAATACCAACCTCATCGCGTAATCGATAAAATTTCAAATTGTTCCTGGGGGGGACTATTGCTGATTGCGGTAATTCCCCCCCCCCTTCCAGAATACGGTCTCTTTCCACTGATAAGAATTAATTGTAGTTTTATACAATATATAATACGGGCTGAGTACTCATACAATGTTTAATTACAACGACCATATTAATAACTCAGATGTTTATCGATCTATCTTCAAACAAGGGGGGGGGGGAGAAGGGTTTTAATAGAGTCAAATTTTCGACACAAAAAGTAAAATTTTGTATGATAGCTTAAAGGGAATGTTAGCGTAATTTCAATGATGGCAATTCCCGATTCACAACCGTACCATTGAAGCCTTTGACTGATCAATAATATGGAAGATATTTTATTTTTTTCTACGTTTAAACGTGTTTGATTCCGATCAGTCATATATGATTTCGTGCACGTTAGAAATGCGGAATTCACTTTTGTAGAGAAACCACAATTGAAAAAAAGATGTTTTCAAAAATATATACATTGATATCTAATTCATACTAGACCAGACAAAGCTTTTAAGGGTACCGTTGTGAATTGGACATCGCCATGTTTGCTTGAAGGGTCACTTGAAATTACGCTTACAGTCCCTATAAACCAAGAAATTTTAGGAATGCCCATTTATTTGTTTACTAAAAAAAGTGTAAATGTTAACAATTTTTTTCGCCATTTACAAAAAGGTTTGTGCTCAATTTTTATACATAATAATATGAAACTTATGTTACCCTCTGTTCCAACCCTTACACTGAGTATCCTCCCTTTCCCTTATACTCCCCTCACCTCCTCCTTACCTTTTCCCTGATTTATCATCATTCTTATGTTTAAAATGTAAAATGTAGATTGTTTTTATCTGCAATTCTCATTCGTTTATAGTGGGCCAACCAATTAAAACAACCTACTCTGGTTAGGCGGGTCCAAACTACATAGTAAAAAAGTAGACAAGTAGAAAAATAGACAAATAGAAAAGTATACGAGTAGACAATTAGACAAATAGACAAATAGACAAGTAGACAAGTAGATAAGTAGGCAAGTAGACAAGTAGACAAGTAGACAAATAGACGGATAGACGGATAGACAAGTAGACAAGTAGACAAGTAGACAAGTAGACAAGTAGACAAGTAGACAAGTAGACAAGTAGACAAGTAGACAAGTAGACAAGTAGACAAGTAGACTAGTAGACAAATAGACAAGTAGACAAATAGACAAGTAGACAAATAGACATGTATATAAGTAGGGAGGTAGCCAGGTAGACAAGTAGACAAGTAGACAAGTAGACAAATAGACAAGTAGACAAGTAGACAAGTAGACAAGTAGACAAATAGACAAGTAAACAAATAGACAGGTAAAAAAGTAGACAATTAGACATGTAGACAAGTAGACATGTAGATAAGTAGGGAGGTAGCCAGGTAGACAAGTAGACAAGTAGACAAGTAGACAAGTATTATGAAAATAGATAGACAGATATAGACAGACAATCATCTTACATGATTACTTCGGCTCAAATTTCGTCAGCTTCAAAGAAAAACAATGATTGATTCCTCATAACGTTCATCCCTATCTTGCCCTATTGAATTGTAAACATAGATTAATTGAAATAACAGATAGGACACCAAATTTCATCCTTACAAGATTTATCAGGCAGAAGCCCAAAGGAGTTAGCGCAGTCTGCGTAGAACAGGCTCTCTCACTTTCTTGTAATTCTACGCAGCATGTGCGTAACCTCTCAGGGCTATTGTGAACGAAATACCCCTAAATCTTGAAATACGACTTCAAGTGTCATATCTGTTATTTAAATTTATCTATGATTGTAAGATATACGTAGGAAAAGTAAAGGTCAGACTTATTATTTTAGAAACGCAACTTCAGCGGTTTTGTCAGGAAGTAAGTAAACATTTTTTAGATTTTCGGTTCATAAGTTAATTTTTTAAAACTTATTGGATTGTCCTTCTGATCTTTAAAGTCATTTCTGTTCTGAAACTTCCTAATAATTTTACTTTTGTCCATCGCTGATAATTTTTGTTTTTCGTTGTTAAATATCATTTTGTAGTTTCAAATAATTGTAAAACTTCTATTCTAAATATCTGCAAGGTGTTTACACATGTTTACTAAACAAAAATACAAGCATGGCGTCTTTCTTTTGATGGATATTTAACTGTAATTTGATATTTTAAGGATAAACAAAATGGTGACTACTGACTTCTACACTGGCTGACTCTGAAAGAATATAATCTCAATCAATGTTGCCCTGAAATTCCTGTAAATTATGACAAGGTGATTATTTTCAAATTATCAGTCCACGAATTCAGGTTCTAATCTTATCTAATCTAACCCTTACCTACCACACAAACATGTGCTGAGACAATAAAAAAGAAAAAGTACAACAAGAATTATAGTTGAATATAGAAAGGACCCAATCCAATTCCTTTATATACAAACCAGAATAATCATTAGATCTTTTAGCATGTTTCTTTTTTAATTTTTTTTATAAATCAATTAAAGAATTTGGGTAACAGGTAGGCTTAGCTAAAACAGACCCAGGCTATTGAGTCCGCCTGCTACGAAAAATATTATTTTATATATTGTGATTTAAAAAAAAATTTAATTCATAAATATTGTTTTTCTGCAGAATTAAATGATTTCATTTAAAATACAGTTTCCAGTCTTTTATTTTTTTCTTGGCTCTCAGTCTTGCTTTGTTTTGCTTAAATTAGACAAGTTCTAGGGTTTCCATTAGCAACAACATTTTATTCAATCTTAAGTAAAGTTTGGCCAAATTTTGTTAAAAATTACTTCAAATAATGATAAAACTATGTTTTTATATATGTCAGGGATCTAAACACTAGCCAGCCTTTGAGAAAGCTTGAATTATTCCTTTGATACCCATCACAACAGAGACATTGAAAATGATTTGTAGTCCTATATACCAATATACAATAAATTTTGAATTTTTACAGATCAAGTTTTGCGCAATTATTGCGCATATTCACTCCCGTATGATGAGTTCATTAGCGCCTGATCCAATCAGGGTTCAGTCATGTGTTTGGTGTCTATTCTGAACCAATAGGAATAGTATGGCGGTAACATCTATCTTTCTATCTATCTCATTATCCAATTAGAGATATAAATCCTTCAATCGGCGCTATCAGTAAATGGAACTATTTACTTCTACTGAAACTGTAGTGTATTGTCCATGGAAAACCGTCGAGTTGAGAAACAAAACAACTTCATGCATCCAAACCATTATTCTGGAATTTCCCATTAATAGGACCGCGCGCTGAGAACGTAAAAGCAATTAACTCTTTATTTATAGAGTTGTAAGTTCGATTCAAACCGGTTCGGTACCTTTTTAACCTCATATGAGATGAGTGTGTGTGACACTTCATCTCACCCTTTTATTGGCTCTGTTCTTTACTGTGGTAAAAATGAAGAGAAGTAATTAACACTATTGTTTATAGCTTACTTCCTCTCCCCTATCTATCTATCTTTCTATCTATCTATCTATCTATCTATCTATCTATCTATCTATCCATCTATCTGTCTATCTGTCAATTTATCTATTGAACTATCTATCTATTCCTCTGTCCATCTATCTATTTATCTATCTATTTATTTATCTATCTATCTATCTATCTATCTACCTATCTATCTATCTGTATGTATCTATCTATCAAATGCCTATCTATCTATCAATTGATTTTTTACCTTATCTTATTCATGTTTTTTTGCCTGAAAATCAATGTCAATCAAATTCAGTTTTAATGTGATTTATTATATAAATTTAAAATCTAGCTAGATACTAGACACATGATATAATCATTGCAACTTTAACTTTACAATATATGTTGGAAGACATTTTAGGTCAATTATTTTTATTATTATATGATTCATTGCTGGTAAATTTTCTATAGTCAATTTAAACAAAGTGATATAAATACAATAATATCATATATTATATAATATTAACCCCAAAAGGATTTTTTTTTATCTTCAAAAGTTTAAAACAAATTCGTGTGACTTTTGATGAGGAAGAGATAATTAATTTTTCATTTTTCAAGATTTGAGTTTTAGAAAATGATTACAGCATTAAATCCATAAAGTTTCCATATTGTTTGTTTTCTATGAATGATTTCCAAAATCGAGCAGCTGACATGATGGAAACCGGTTTTGGCACGTGTGACCCAGCTGACTGAATTCCTCCATATTGGGCGCATTCTCCCATATACTTCCCACCATCGCTACACTGCTACCATACATACTTCTAAAACAATCATACGCTAACAAATGGAATTTTTTGGTTACCTAAACTCAAAAGAAGTCGTTGTTCCTCTGTGGGCCCCCAGAACTCAGCCTCTGATTGTCACAAATAGCAAAAATTTGGCACAATTCTGTGAACTTTTTTAAACTTTAGATAAATTTAAACGTTGAACTTGGCTTGGAATTATCTTTCAGACATTTCTTAACAATATCTAACACATGTATGCTAACTTAAATGTCGTTTTCCTTTTCCACAGTTTTATGGATTTCAATGTAACAATAATTTAGGCATTTATCAGAAGCTGCTTTTGTGATTTTCTGTAACAATTAAGGCTTCTTTGAGAGTAATCATAAAATCCTAGAATTGACAATGAAAATTATTTCAAAAATATTAATATATAATTGTTCATATTTCTGTACCTGTACTCAAATTCTTCTGAAGTACTGTTTACAGCCTTCTGTACACTTTGTACGAAAGGTGCCATCTTGCACAGGAATAGTTGTACACAAGAGGTAGTGCTCCCTAGATAAACGTAATTAACAATAAGGAAAATTTCGGCATTTTTATACTTTTTCAATTTTCAGATAGAAAAACAAGAATATCTCCATTATGTTTGAAGATTACAGTTTCCATCGTGAGCAATTTGCTCGAGGTTTGGCAAACTTTAGCGTGGAATTGCGATGTTTTATTCGAAAATCAATTTTGCACAAATGTTGCGAAATTGCATATAATAAAATTTTAAGCAAATTGCATAGTTGCTTTCACATAATATTACGCTATTTGCAGGAACATTTTAAAACACAAAGAGCCGAAAATTTCGGCGTAAACAATTGTATTTCATTATAAAATATACACGTACACCTGTATTATCCTTCAGAGTTTCAATCATATTATCCACTTTATATTATAGAATATACACCTGTATTATCCTTCAGAGTTCCAATCATATTATCCACTTTATATTATAGAATATACACCTGTATTATCCTTCAGAGTTTCAATCATATTATCCACTAATTCTTCATTTAATAATCCCTCCTGTATCTCCCGACCTCGTCTATAATATGAACAAATGATAGAATGTGTAAAGAGTATTCCTTCTAGAATTATAAAAAATAAGAGAGATAGGAATAACTATTTACATTATTTTCAAATAATAAAAGTTGAAAATAAACCAATTATTTATTTCATATAGATAAAAAGTATTACCTTTGAGCCTTGTCAACCAGTTCAGCCATGAAAGGCATCACCCCCTACCAATATATATTAAAATTTAAAAGAATTAAACCACACTTCTACTATAGTATAGTAGTAGTATAACTAAACATGACATTTGAGAGACGATTTAAAAGGCATTGGTTGATCGTTGATTGCTGTTTAAATGCAAAGTTTTAATGACTTTTAAGCTTTTTTGAGAAAACTCACATTGTGGAATGCTTATAGTTTTCGATCTATTTATACTGATATTGTCATTTAATAGGTTAAAAGGTAAAAAGGACTTTTGAGTCTTCTTTTAACTGTTATGGTTAGTGGAACATCACAGTTGTTTTTTGTTGCAATTTTTATGTCATTGTTCTATAATTTGTGATACGCCGTGGAAGCCGGAACAGTTCGGTCGAAGGATTTTTAATATTTTGTTCGTTATACCAACTGACGAAACTGACAAAACTGACGAAACTGTCGAAACTGACGAAACTGACGAAACTGTCGAAACTGACGAAACTGACGAAACTGACGAAACTGACGACACTGACGAAACTGATGAAACTGACGAAACTAACGAAACTGACGAAACTGACGAAACTGTCGAAACTGACGAAACTGACGAAACTGACGACACTGACGAAACTGATGAAACTGACGAAACTGACCATCTGTCCAAACAGACCGAACTGACCAAACTGACCGAACTGACCAAACTGACCATAGAGATTGGAAAATATGAGTTTTTGGCAAAGGCTCAATTCCTTAACATTACGTTTAATATTAAAAACAGATTATTAGCAATATCAAATCTGATAGAAATCCCTAACCCTTTCAAATTAATTTCGAACAAAAGGTATGTATTTTAACATGAACGAACACCATTTCATATTCAGTGTTACAGTAAAAACTTGTATACCTGTTGGGCGAGGGATCTGAATTGAGACACTGTATCTTCTAAAAACAAGATTTTTAAATTGAAAAACATGATAGATGTTCTTTTTTCTGCATAGCAAAATTAATGTGATGTGCGAAAGACTTTGATTTAGGGTTTCCAATTGGACCAATTTGGGTCGGTAATCGCAAGACGGAATTGGATACAAGACTCTTATTTTACGTTACGTGCAAAAAATTCAATACAAAGATTCATAAAATAATCAATTCATAAAAAAATACGTATTTTCATACAAAAGTGGAAACTTTATCCGTGAAAAACAGCGAACTTAAATTTCTACGATCCTACGAGAGCAACTTTTTGTACGTAGCTACTAATTGTTCGTGGCGAACCACAAAAGATGCAGATACAGTGATACAAAAGATGCAGATACAGTGATAACTACAAAAGTCTGGAATAGGATGTCGACTCAATTTGAGACTTATTTAATAATTTACTACGTAATCTATTTGCTCTGTAACAACATTAAATGCACCTAAATAAGAATTGCTTAAATGTCGTCTTCATATTCTACATTTTTCTGGTTCCCACATAAATATATATATATATATATATATTGGTGTTTTAATGTTACCTATTTTCTGTGTAGATCCGACCAGGTAGTCTGCCAACATCTCCCCCAGGAAGGCTAGAATATCAATAGCCATCCGACCCATAGCAGTCTCTTCAATGCCAAATATTGACATCACAGCAGTCAACTGGAAATATTTTGGTTTTTCAAAATTGTTTTTATTTAAATTTTGGCGTATTTTGTTCTGAAACAAAGGAATTGAGTCTTTCCCACAAACTCTGGTTTTCCAATCCCTATATCTTTGCAACCCAATTTCTTGTACCTTATATATTTGAAATTAAGTACACTGTTAGATCAAATAATCTAAGTTTGAAAATCAAAGTTTAACTCCATCAGGTTCCGAAGATACAGGGATTTTAGTTTGTGACAAAAACTCAATTCCTTTCATAAAAAAACAGGCTGTTTTACTTAAAAAAAATTTTCTGCTATATACCGCATCTTTTTTAACATACAGTCCTCGTCTCAAATATCAATACAATGAAGACGACGTTCGATTAAAAATTTTTATTTCTACAAAGCTTGCAAACAGCATGGATACACATTAACATGAAAACAAAACATAAAAGCTATCAACAGTTAATTTACCTTTATTTACTTGTAAACTTATAATTTGAAAGAAGCATATTAGAAATAAAAGCTTGAATAGAAATGACGTTTTCGTTGTATCGAAGTAAACGCCGACCAATGTATCTTTTGAGATTTGTTGCTTTCTATAGCAAGAACATGACAAGAGTTGTATTACAGTTGCAAAACGAATTAAGTGATGATTTTTTTCTTAGAGTAAAAGTTACTTAGGATTTCGTTGACAGTCCTATGTAAAGATAATCTTAAATATTTTCAAAATTGTATTAATGTAAAACTGTATAATTATGAAAAATGCTTACCACACGTTCGATAATTCCGTTTCCGTATCCGGTATCCAGCTCTCCGGTTCTATCCATAGCGTCAAGTCCTCCCTAAAATACAAGATCTCTAAAACTCTCTAAAGGAAGTGAGATTTTGCAACAATCCTGATTTTCTATTTTATGTAATCTGATATTGTAGACGTCTGATATTTCAAACTATGAATTCTGTTCGATCAAATAGTCTAAGTTTAAAAATAAAACACCACCAGTTTGGACAGATATAGGGATTAGACAATTTGATTTTGCTTCTTGAAGTTTAAGCTTGACTATTTTTGTCTTTTAAGTTTTAATGATATTTTAGCAAAAATAGAATAAAGTTTACAACCTCAGTTTTTAAGTTTTGATAAACGCTGTAGCAAAATTAAACAAATGGTTAATTAATCCATATCTTTATAATTACCGAATAAAAATTATAAAATCTAATCAACTCTGCAACTAGGATTTATTATTCTGGAGTTGTTTTAATCCTGGGAGTTGCATGTATAGAGGGTAAAACTAATGATTAACGGGAGATTTTACGATTTTTGAAACACTCCTGTATGCCGAGTCCATAAGCGTCTGATCCAATCAGGTTTCATTCATGTGTTTGGTGTCTCTTCTGAACCAATAGAAATAGTATGGCGGTGACATCTATCTTTCTATCTATCTTATCTTCCAATAAGAGATATGAATCCTTTAATCGGTGCTATCAGTAAATGTAAATATTTACTTCTACTGAAACTATAGTGGAAAAGTGGTACAAAATAATTTTGTACTTTGAAATGGTAATCAGGTAACATATATAACATTAATTGGCAATCAACAACAGATAATTTTCATTTCTTTAGTTTTCAGTAGCTTCCATTTTGTTTACAAACCTGCATTCACTCCCTTTAAAACTTTGCAGAAATGCATTCAAACATGCAACAATAAACTTTATAAAATATAAACCATCTGTTTTTTCTAAATTAAACCGAATTTGACGTCATTGATTGTGTATCCTTAAACTAATTATTTTTTAACTACATTCTTTATAATGGTTCTGTTATTTGACTGACCCCACATTCAAAGATGACAATGCTCGATGAACAACGGTACCCTTGAAACCTTTATCTGATCATTAATATGGGAATATTGTAGGGTTTAAAGAGTTATTTGTTTTCCCGCAGTAGAAATGCGCAAACACTTCTGTTATAGAGAAACTACAATTAAAATAATTAGTTTTGAAAATGATAACATTGACTTCTAAATTATATTTGATTATTAGACAAAGCTTTTAAGATCGGGCATTGCCATCCTTGCATGGAGGGTCATTTACGCATACAGTCCCTTTAATGTTTAAGATAGAAACTATACCTTTAACATATCAGTATAAGATGTTCTTGCTCGACCCATTTCCTCCATTAAGCCACTAAAAATACACAATTTAGAAATGCATTTTATTGATACACATTGAAATTTTGCATACAGTCTGGAATTGTGGCCATCTAACCGAATCACCTATTCGATCAACCTAAAATTTCACAAAATATTGGGTTAAATCACCCTTAGAATCTGTGCAGTATGCACCCAAAAAAATATGTTTTAAGCCCCTTCGTGTGTCACCCATAGATCAATGTAGATTGTCGAAGATATCCATGTTATTTTCAATGGTGTATACATAATATATATATTTTCCAATTACTCTTTTTCAATGGAGTGTCTGGCTAGACGTGGTAGTTGAGCTGAGAGTGCAGTAGGTAGAGTTTTTTGTCTATTTTGTCTAGAAATACTGCACACTCAGCTCAACTACCATGTATAGCCAGACACTCCCTTTAAACTAAAGCTAGAAATACTGCACACCCAGCTCGACTACCATGTATAGCCAGACACTCCCTTTAAACTAAAGCATAGAAATACTGCACACCCAGCTCAACTACCATGTATAGCCAGACACTCCCTTTAAACTAAAGCTGGAAACAAGTGCTTAATGGTTTTAAAAGGAAAAGCTAAGGTGTTTTTTAGCTCAACGCTTGAATGTAATCTGAATCTATGTGAATTAAAATGGGTTTATAAGACCGGCAATCATATTCTCATCTGTTATCAGATGCCAAACTCCCTTGAACTCTTGGTCAAGCAGAGATTTAAACTGCTCTTTTGTATTAAAAGTTACCTTTTTATTCAGTTTTCGTCTTAAATATTATTATTTTAGAGGAATTGAATCTTTGCCACAAACTCAGAATTTCTAATCCCTTTATCTTTTCAACCCGATGTCCCGTTATTTTCAAACTATGATTTCTCTTAGATCAAAACATTTTAGTTTGAAATAAAAAATATTTACTCCATCCGGTTGCAAAGAAATAGGGATAAAAAATTTGAGTTTGTGGCAAAGACTCAGTTAATTCTTTTATTGTTACCTTAATAAAACTCCTGGAGATTGAAGGGGGTATAATGAATCCACCAAACTGTTAAACATATCAAAATAAAATAATTTAAACTTTATAGCATAATTATTTAACATAAATTAAATATAAATATTTTTTTGTTATTTGATTTGATTCCTTAAAAATCTGGCTGTAGATTCAAGTTGATGTGAATTTACTTGATGTAAAACAACTAAACTTAATAATAGAAACTTCATTTTTAACTGAAAAATATGGTTTATTATTTCTATGGATGGTATGGATGGTATGGATGGTATGGATGGTATGGACCATCCCCTCCCACCAGTCTTACATTTCTCACACACATGTTCCAGCATTTATTTTACAGGTAGAAAAAAAAATTATCATCCCCCCTCCCTTACGTACTTTTGTAGAAATCAACATCCCCTGTTTTGAAATTATTCCAAAAGCTTGAGGTTTGGTCAAAGAGAATAGAATATATATTAGAGTGGAATTTAGACAATCCCTCGGTATGAATTTTGTCAGTTCCTTTCAGCCTGAAAGGGAGTTAAATGTTTACAAATCATGTAAATGTTCACAAATTATATGCAGTAGAGTACATTAATACAGTATGTTCCCTAGACTATCCATTTCAATTTCTAATTTTTTAAAGCTGTTAAATAAACTTTATAATGAATTAGGTGAATAAAAAATCATCATTTGTAAAGTGAAAGGCATAAAGTCTATGTGAAATGATCAGTGGTCAATTATGCAACCATGTCATAATTTGGTTTTCTTTTAATAATATTAATTTTATATTTTCTATAAAATAATGTTCCAGGGCATATAGCACAAATATGGAAAGTACACCTGCATTATGGAAACAGTACAACGAAATGGCTGTTTTACACTTTTTTCAAATTCCAGATTTCTCTAAATTATGCTTTCTGCATGTGTTTCATTTAATATCGATTGCACACTATATTAATTGACAATTGGACATGGTTTAATAAAAAACTATCTGAATTGTTCAGATAATTTGAAAAAAGTTAAGAATTATTTCATTGGCAGTGCAGCAGGTTAATGAAATATGGTTGAAAGAGATAAAGTCTTGACTTAAAATCTCTAAATTATAGCAGAACTGTCAAAATTATCTCTTGTTAAAAATCTCTTTAATATGACAACCCTAAAACCATGAATGGAGTTAGAGATCACGTCCGTCAGCATGCCTTCATGATGCTAGGTCATGCTTAGGTAAGTTCATTTAATATAATAGATGAAACACAAAATCACTGAATTGAATAGTCCTGTTTTAAAATCTCTAAATTGATTGATCCCATACCCAAGACTTCGATATACCATCGTTTAAATCCAGGGTGTCCCACGAAATATGCCAGAGACAACTTGACAGTCGTCTTTGAACTTTTAATTTATTTGTGACATTCACTCATCAACCTACTTTCACCTTTATAATTCTTGAAACAATAACCACACAGTGACACAATTAGTGGGACACCCTGTATATCCTGCTTAAATATATTAGTGGGACACCCTGTATATCCTGCTTAAATATATTAGTGGGACACCCTGTATATCCTGCTTAAATATATTAGCCCTGATCCTAATTGTCCTTTCTCACGAGCTGGCATATTTTCTGCTTGTTTTAACATCTATTTAGCATAAAACTGTCCCTAAAGATGTGTATTTAAGGATTAAATCTCTGCTTTACAGTTTTAAAGTGGGTTAATATCTTTATAATTTCAGGTTTAGGGGTTGAACTTAAGCCAGATTTATACACTTAAACTGTGGTAAATTATCAGCCAAATTTTCAAATATTTTCACCAAGTACTGTGGAATAGGCAGACGACATAATGTTCTTGGGACTATTTTAAGTCATAACTTGAGTCTAATAGTCGTGTTTCTAGAATTATAATCCCTATAACTTTGTGTAACCTGATGGTGTATAGTAAATCCATGCAATTTTAGACTTGATTATTTGATCTAACAGAATTCATAGTTTGACATATCTGAGGTGTTCCAATTAAGTATAGACAGAGTTTGTGGCAATTCAATTTGTTGTTTTGCCCCAAAAATTAGTACGTTTTAAACTGTGCCAATTTGAATTGCCTTTTATTTAATTAAGCTACTTTTTATGCCAGTAACAATACTAGAAAACATACATTTCTGTGTAATAAAGGTATATGTGAGTTGAGCAATTACAGTTTGTGATGGGCCATAGCTTGATTCGTTTCTTATACGCGTTTGAAATGTTTTTGACTAAAGAAGTTCCACAAAAATCAGAGAAGTACTAAAAATTGTCTATTTTTTAGATTTCATTTTCATACACTTTGCCTAATTTTGACCCTAAGAGAAAATACACCATCGTATTTAAACGGTTCGTTTTTGCCTTTTATAAATATCAAAAATTACAATAAAACCAAACTTTTGCAGAATTCTAATTTGAAATTTTGGAAGTTCCCAATATGTGAGTGGTCTCTCTGAAAAGTCTAAAACCCTCAATAACAACTAGGTAACAAACATGAAATATTTCAATTCCTTTAATATTTAATGGGCTATGCTTTGTAAAACTGAATTGATGATAAATTTCTAACCATAATTTCTGACTTTAAAAAACTAATTTCTTTACCGTTTAACATCATAATCATCCATTAGCTTCAAACACAGGGACCTCCCCTCCTCCTTCAAACTCGTATCATCATTAATCCTGTCGATTCAACCAACTTCAAGAGATCGAACATGTAAAAAAATAGAGCAATTTCAAAAACAAACGATTTGAAAATACATAAAAAATATCTTTCACCTGCGGCAGAACAAAATGTTGATTCAAAGTTTTTTTTATGCCTTCCTATCATTACAAAGTGATTATTGAGCTGTATTAAAGAATGTTGGTCGGTTTGTATGTGCGGCACTCTGCGCACTGTACAGTTGGTCGCCATGTTTGAATGCCGCATAATTAATTGTTGTGAACAGAAATATAGGAATTCATTCAAATACAAACTTGGGCGCAAATACATATCTTTTAAAGAAGGTTTATTTCTACATTTGGATATGAGTTAGAGTTCTTTGAGGATAAATTGGCATATCACATTTGGAATTGAGTCTTTGCCACAAACTCCAATTTTATATCTCCTATATCTTTGCAACCAAATGTCGTCTTAGATATTTTAAATTATAAATTGTTTAAAATACAATGTTTTAAGTTTGAAATATCTTAGGTTCACACCATCAGGTTGCAAAAATAAAGGGATTAGAAAATTTTAATTTGTGGCAAAGACTCAACTCCGTTAATTGCATTCAACTTGATATTTAGGTATTTTTTTTGTGCCAATATTATTTTCCAGTATTATTCATTTCCAAAGAGAATAGAATATATATTAGAGTGGAATTTACTAGAAAAAAGTGTAAAACGGCCATTTTTTTGTACTGTTTCCATACTGCATGTGTACTTTGTGCTATATAACCTTTTGGGCCCTGGAACATCATTTTATAGAAAATCTAAAATTAATATCAAAAGAAACCCAAATTATGAAATAGGCTGTTTTCATAATTGACCAATGATCATTTCACATTAACGATGATTTTCCGTTATAACTATAAATCAAAAGATGTCTTTATTCACCTAATTCATTTTATAAAGTTTATTTAACAGCTTTAAAAAACTGAAATGGATAGTCTAGGGAACATACTGTATTAATGTACTCTACTGCATATAATTTGTGAACATTTACATGATTTGTACGCTTTGAACTCCCTTTCTGGCTGAAAGGGACTGAAAAATTCATGCCGGGATTTTCTAATTTCCACTCTAATATATATTCTATTCTCTTTGTTTATTCCTACCAGTATAAATATGAAACAATCACACCCATAGCAATTAGCACTTTGAGTGAGGTATTTATTGTTTCTGTCAGTAAAAAATGACGCCAAAGATGTAGATAAAACATTTAATCAAATATTAATGATGAAATGAATATGAAGTCCAAGTTTTTCTATTCTTTAAAGAAATTTTTATAAATGTACTGAACGATTGCCAACTGGGTGATTGATATATGGATTAAATGTTTAGGCTAGGTTTAAAATAGATTTAAAATATAGTTTTGGATTAAATTAAGGATTGAACAAGGGACAAAGAGGAATCAAAAAGTTCTTGAAAAAGGTTTTAAATGGATTGAGGATGTCAATTGAGGGTGAATTCAGTAGGGACTGTGGAAATGATTGAGTGTGGATTCAGTAGGAGCTCTCGAAAGGATTGAGGGGGTGATTCAGCAAGGTGGATTCAGCATGAGAAATTATTCGGAAGGATTGAGGAGGGATGTAGGAGGGATTGAGGAGGGATTGAGGATGGATTGAGGAGGGATTGAGGAGGGATTGAGGAGGATTGAGGAGGGATTAAGGTTTGATTGAGGATGGATTGAGGAGGGATTGAGGAGGGATTGAGGAGGGATT